GTGTATTCGGATATAGTTTTCTATTTATTTTCACTCCATAATAAACCTTCAGTTAAAGTCTTACTCTCGCTCTTAAGTCGAGCCACGTCATTCTCTGTTTAGTTATAAGAAGCAGAAAAATAACAAATTGTTTTTCTTAGCTTACAAAAGTTATTAATAAAAATTCCGCCTTGAATACTAACAACAGGATAATAATAATTATACACTCATTGAACGAATTAGCCGTTAACTATACCTAGTGATTTAGTGAGTTAGTTTTCTACGCTAACCACATGCCTAACCCTCCTCCACTACCCAGGATTGGAACCGGCAGTAACTCTAGAAGAGCTACAAGCGGAGTTTAGAACAATAACGGGGCGGATTTTCATGCATATAGCATATAATTCTCTTTGAACCTAGCACATAACAATAGCATCATGCACTGTCCCATCGCCCTTGGCAGATCATGCAACCCGAAAGTTACGAGAACACCATCAGTGCATACGACAGGCTAGGTACTGTCTGTGCATAATTCAATTCTCCTTGTCTGCATTAATATTGGAATCTAGACAAGTCTGTCTAATCAGTCCTATATAAAATGAAATGAACGTACTACATTCCCCTGTTAGACATAATTTCGTTTTAATAATTTATAGAAATAACGAAACGGTAATGACTTGAAAACAAAACTGAAGTGAATTAAAATTATTAATTTTCAAAGTTGCTGAATAACAGTTACAGTCACTAAAAAGAAAATGATTGCGTAATAATCCATTTTCTATTGGATGATCAGAGGCAATTAAGGTGAAACCTTGATTCTAAGTACCATACCTTATGCTATTAATCATTAGAGTAAATTCGCAGCTCTGAGATAATTATGTTCTCTTAGGTAATCAAAGTCACAGTTAGAGAAATTTGCCATTGAATTATTCAATGAGTACTAGACATACTTACTTATTTACGCCTCTTACCTCTCGTAGAGAAGCATAGACCGCCTACCAGGATTCACCATCCAATCCTGAGCACTGGATATAGTATAAATTATTTGGAACATGTTCCAGAAATCTAGTAAACCCCAGCCACAGAGATGAGCAGATAGGGTAGATGCGATAGAAAAGGTGATGATGGACAACAGTAGACAACTTCCAGATTTATCAAAGGAACAGGTATGAAATATTCAGTAGTTGGTTGGACTATTTTTGAAAAACATGGGTCAATGATTCACTCGCAACCCAGGAGACTGGAAAAATGAGTAAAGTAATCTCAAGGACAGCTAAGTAGCTCTCCATCCATTCTTCATCTGTCTACTTTTACCTGAATGGGATGTCAGTATAAACCCTCCGACTCTTAAAGTAGAGAAAGCCACAGCAAAACTGAAAAGATGGGGAACAGTAGGCCATGATGGATAAGTCCTTGAGGTCTTTAAAGATGATAGTCTAGTTTTGATTGTTAGGTTAACAGAAATCTTGGCTAGAGTTTGGAAAATAAACGTATTCTTCTCTGACTGGTCTCGATCGCTAATCGTTGAAGTCTATAAGAAAGGATAAAACTCTTCTTGTGATAACGACAAGAGAACCAGTTTTGGTAACATTGTTTAAAAAATTAGCCTCAAAAATCACCCGTTGCTTAACTAGAGCTCACGAAGAGCAAACTTGGGAAAACCAGGCGGTTTTCAGGCATGGGTGTGCAGACCAAATATTTGCATTTCGTCAGGTCCTCGAACACAAACATACTTACCAACTTTCAATCATAGTCGTATTTCTCTACCCTAAAGAAACGTTTGATTCCATAGCTCGATATGTTTTATGTAAATGCAGGTTATCGGAAGGGAAACCAAATTATATCAACCGTGTACAGGCTTTCTACTCGAACAATACTACTTGAGTCGGAGCTTATGGAAAACTGTTATCGTAATTGATAACTTCAAGTGATGTTTCCCATAGTTCTCCATTTTTCCTATTTTAATAAAACTTTATGATATGCATTCCTTTGGATAAAACACTTTCACTGTATGACTTATCAGGAATCGATCTTCTACCAGGAGATTTCTTTGCTGGCTTAGAATATGCAGATGGCATAGTCTCGTTTGGTGAAGACACAGAAAAAATGTAGCTTTCTGACAATCTAGAGCATTAATGATAGTATATTTGGGATGAGTTCATCCCTCTCTAAAGGCAAAATGTCACTTTAGGACTGGTCTATATCGACCACTTTACTTATCTTGGAAGTCTCACCAGTCGCGGTCGATTGGTGTCTGACGAAGTCTCGACGCGAGTTCACGAAGTTCGGACAGCTTTTAGAAACTTATAGAGTAGGGAAACTTTCTGTCTGCTAACTAAAGGGAAAGTATACTACGCAGCAGTTCACTTCGTCCTTCATCAAGGATCTGAATCATACTAATTATGAATAAATTATTATTTATTTAAATGCACTGGTATGGCCGAGAGTGGGGTGGGCCCGCCCTCCCTCTCGAAATGCTCTCACATGGCCACGCGTATACAGCCTCTACCAGGGAAGTCATATTCACTGCCTTCTCTCACTGGGGGTGTTGTTTACGAGAATGAGAGGACGAAAAACGAATGTCCGGCGCTTTAACCGGATCCCAAACCAGTGGTGCACATGGGCTCCAGTACCCTGAGAGAACAAATGGCGTATGAACCAATCGTTGATCACCGGCTACCATGGGACTGTATCTCTTTACGATGCTCCACTGCCTTCTGGATCAGACCTTTAGGTCGAAGGCTCGGGGTGTAGCCCCCTAAGATAACCACCTGCTTCGGTCTGGGCACCTGTGCAGTATCACAGTCCACACACAAGTATGACGAACTGTCGATAATTATGAATAAAAGATTTTAGTAGATTACTAGTAGTCGACTATAGGTTTCTCCGAACCATTGAGATCGTCGGGTTAGCGATTCTGAGTCTGGACCTTGGATACAAGGTACGTATGTCAAACCAATTGATGCTGTAGTGAATCTTCACTAATTGAGATTGTTAGGACATGCATTACATATGCCTATCGACTGACCACCTTTACGCCCGATGATGGCTGGTGCAGGAGTGGGTTGGTAGGAAGCTAAGGGTAGCCAAGCATGGCATAAATCCATGGAGACACTGATTGTTGGACTGAGCAGTGTGGATAGGTCCAGACTATCCGGTAGAGGTGCGTATATTATGTCGTAATCAATGGTCATAGACATGGCTTAGAACCGTTCGCAAAGGCAGAGGAGTATCCACTTCTCATCTTTAAATCCTAAGTTTCTAAACTACCTTAAAAATTTATTTTTCATTTGACCAATTTAAACTTCCTCTCGAACTGTTTTCAGGTTTTTCTTGTTTCCACTAATACTGTTACTACTTCTGCTACCCTGGAATTTGCCCTGACGATTTCACTTGTGCTAATGAAATATGGAAACTTGGACCGATGTACTAGTGCCACGTTCTAAATTACGTTGGTTTGACGGATTTACTCTCTCATTCCAGTCTACTTACACTAATACGAATATGTTTGATAGTGGATATTTTTTAGATGACCCGGATATCATTTGATTGATTTTCTCATCTTTATGTTTTTGCGAGAATATTAGTTCACATTCACTTACAATTTAAGTGTACTCTTAGATGAATCGTTCACTGTGTCTAAAAACTCAAGAAGTGTCATCCTAAAGGATGGATCTCTAAAGACAACCTGGAAAAGGGTCAGGAAATAAAAGACAGGAAGACAGAAGTCAACAACAGCCAAACAAATCAGAGAAGCTCAAGCCATATATTCAGTATATAGATTCAAACTGGGTCAAGAAGAACATGATAGCTGACAAGCCGAAATATGTGGAAGACCTGGTAACTACAACTGGACAAAATACAAGAGAAAGAAACATGAAAGACCTATATGATACAACCAAAAGGCTAGCAAAGAGATATAGAAAACCAGAACAAATAAGGAAAAGTAATCATTGAATATGAAGAGTAGAGTACTTTTCAGAAAGCTCTTGAATAGATCAGGCTCAATGAACCCACTAAACGTCGGAGCAGCACTCACAGAACTCTCCGTTGATAACACTCTACTGACCATAATAGAGATCTGCAAGCGCATCAGACAAACCAGGGATGGTGAAGCGCCAGAACCAAACAGAATACCAGATGAAGCGTTGAAGTCAGGTATGGAGGCAACCTTATAGATATCCCATGTTCTCTTCGGAAAGGTTGGAAGGAAAAAGAAACAATGAACTGTAAGGAAGGACATCTCATCAAGACATCGAAAGCAGATCTTAATAAGTATGAGAAATACAAAGGAACACACTATTGTCGGAAGCAGGTAAAGCTTTTAACAATGTTGCTGAACCGAATAAAAGATCAGGCAGATCACCAACTTAGAGATCTAGCTGGATTCCTTAGGGATCAATCATATACCACCAAAATTGCGAGACTGCCTATGACTTTTGGAAAATCAGTTGAATGAAGGTCATTTCTGTCTGTCAACTTCTTGGATCGTGAGAAAGCATTCGACATATGGATAGAAACATGGTGAAATCTCTTTTGCGTACCTGAAAGATACTCCAAATATTTTGGGCAGAGACCAACAGCAATAAAGCTACTCCAACAAACAGCAACTTAGCTGAGGAAGAAGTTAGGAAAAAACGGTGGGAGTAGGTAGGGTACACATGGTGGATGTTCGGATACAGTACGAAATTATCTTTAGGTAGAAATTGTTTGGAATATCACCTTCCCAATCGTACTTACAAAAGAATGTGAGATTTAAAAACAATAAAAATTATGTGATAACAAGCTTCGCAATTAGAGTTAGATAAAACAACATATAACTGAGTCAAAATATTTTGCCGGATTGACTACAATTTACATATAAATGCTAGTCGCTTTTAAAATTCTCTATATTACAAAGATCAACTCATTTCTACCTTTGATAGTCAGATCCTTGAAAGCAGAATTATTCAGTATCACTTAGTTCTTTCTATCAACAAAGCATTTTGATTATGTCATCGATGTTATAAAAAAGAACACTCTTAATACTTTACACTATATTTTATAGAGGAAACTGGAAACATCAGAAATGCTGTTATTGTTATGCAACTTGTGTAGGTCCAGGAGCTGTAGATCCTGTCGTTTGCCACTGCTGGTCTGGGGCTTGGAGTGGAAATCCTTGAAACGGTGGTGGTGGAGGTGCAGAAAAGTTAGACGGAGGAGGCGGCGGCGGAGGTGGGAAGGATGTCGGAGCGGCGGAAGCAACAGGGATCGGCAGAACAGGTGGTGGGGGAGGCGGGGGAGGGGGTGGCATGGCACCATGAACCATAGACTGCCCGAATCCCACCAAGGCGGTTTGAATTGGCGGAGGTGGAGGCGGCGGCATGACTAGAGATCCAGCAGGTATTGTGATAGATGTCATAGTTGGAACTGAATGGGCCATAGTCCCTGCAAGCAGAGCGGGTGGGGGCGGAGGAGGAGGAGGTGGTGGAGCATCTGCAAACAGCTGATGTGGGCGCTCAGCCTAGGAGAAAGATGTTAAAATATGAGTTAACTTGAAATTTTATGTAATTCATAAGCAGAAGAATTGACTTGGTGTTTACGGCACTCGGTTTTTAACCAGAAAGTTACAAACTAGAGTCCTCTAGTTATTTTGCTTTGGACAGCTGGATAGTACCACTAGCTCTCACACAAGCAAGTGGGATCAAAACCTATACTCGGTGACTGAGTTACATTATTTTATTAAAATAAATAAGTGTATAGAAAAAGGTTGTAGAAAACCGTCGATCAACAAATTCTATTTCACATTGATTGTGCCTAACAATAAGTTACTAATTTTAATCGAACTGTTAGTGACAAATTAAACAGCTTTTAACTACAAGAAGTGAATTCTCCACTCAGTTATTATCAGTGAAGTTGTTAATAAATTACCTGTAAGTATTTAGTATTACGAAACTAATCTAATAGCTGATGTGTTTCTATGAATATTATCAATGAAATTACATAATTTGTGCAGGGATTTAGAGATAAGAAATGTAATTGGCATTTAACAAACGAACTCGAGCAACTCGACAAGTCACTGCAATATAGAAATCTGTATACTGTTTCCATGCGCTTTGTGTTGATTTCTAACGTAATTTCACTCAATTACCATATTATTAATCATTTTAAAAAAAACAATCAAGATAAAAAAGTAATGTGATGAAGGACTAGAATAGTTTCTATACAGTGAGTTGTTGGCTGTTACTCGAAGCGACTCTGATACGGAATTTTCAGGTTATGGAAAGATTTTATTCCTCACTCACCAATTTTCGAAATTTAGAACTTAATTAATCGCAAAGCTACTTTTTATTTCGTATTTTTATGTACTGATCAATTATTTTCGGAAGCGTAAAATAGTACTACACTGTAACAGAGTGACGTTATATACGTAATGTCATTATATTTTTGGTTTGCATTTGTAAATTACCTACAAAATATTAAGGAGTATTTAGTGTATTTCATCCATATTTTGATCATTTACATATCACTCATGTTACGCTGTCGGTTAATACAAACGTATTGAAAAGTAATGGTTGTTACCATCACTCATGAAGGAAGTATTGGTCATGAATAATTGAGAATTTCAGGTACGAAATTTAAAAAAAGGAAAATAAATGAATTAATGAGAGTGTAAAAGTTAGAGTTTCAGTCAAAATATTACTAACTTAACTGCTTGATTTATTGGATTTTCTTTATCTCGAATTTAAACACGAATTAACAGAGGATACGAAACTATCCAGTTACATCAAATGAAGTAAGTAAAACAACAAACGAACGTTGTGTTAAAATATAAACGAGAAATCTACATTCCCTTGAAAAGTGATTAGTCAGTCAATCAGACGTAACGCAGAACCTTGAAAAGTAATACTTCTGCTTTTGTAAATTAGTAATATATGCGTTCGACTGCAACAATTAGCTACATAATCAGACAACTTTCACAGTCAGTATGTGTCACTAACAACTGCAACCTTCAGATGAGGAATCATTTTGTGTTAATTAAAAGCTAGTAAAAGGTTAAACAACTGTTTTAGCTCATATTGTATTGTAGGTCTAATAATGTACATATTGTAAAAATAATACAAATAACCACGTCAATTCAGTCTGATCAATTTCACTTACTTGAGAAAGAGGACTTTGGGCAGCTAACAAACGTTCAGCAGCTGAGCCATGGCGTTCACCTTTACTGTCTTTTTTGAATGCATATGAGATAGTGATGGCTCGATTACAAAGATACTGTCCGTTCATCGCTTCGATTGCTGCATCACTAGCTTCAAAACTTGCAAAATTGATAAATGCGTACCCTTTAGAATTTCCTGTTTCAGGGTCACGCATAATTTTTGGAGTTTGCAGTATAACACCAAATGCACTGAAAGTATCGTACAGTAGCTTTTCATCTACCTCAGGATCTAAGTTGCCAATGAAAATATTAGCACCTATATCAAGATTTTTCTGATTCGCTGATGCTTTATTTACGCGAATAGGCTTCCCATACAATTTAATCATGTTCATAATACGCATAGCATAGTCGGCATCTTCTTCCGTCATAAACTCTACAAATCCGTAACTAAAACGGATAACAAGAAGATATGGAGGAGGTAAACAACGTAAACTATACGAACCAATGAAAATATCTAACAGAAACCTTTCACTATCAGGGGTCGGTCGATAGTAAATATCAAAAATAAATAAGTTACACCACCTCAAATATGTACCACTAGTGTATTATGAAAAACAGCTGATCCAAAATAGGTATTGAAGAGCAGTGTTGATTGTTTGTTATTTCTACACTATTGATAACCTGAAAATAAGTCAATGAGTAGCCGAGAGCGCTATTTTTACAGACGATTAGTATCCTTATACAACTGGATACAAGCACATTAGAGAGTAGTAGACCAACTTGGATACTGGCTACTTTATGTGCCTTAAATGATGTAACTCCTAAAGTTTTGTTGGATAGAAATATATTACTGATGCAATAATGTGAGATTGTTTTGGTGAGAAATAAAGTGATGTTTGAAGCAAATTTCCTAGTAACGGGGACCTAAGAGACATTCAACAGAAGTTTCTGCTTTAGATGTACAAGTGATCCCAATGTGGGTATAGCATTAAATCTGAAAGCTGCATAAGGATGACGAAAGTAATGTCATTAGTAAGTTAGTAACAATGTGTAGAATAAATTAACCTATTCACCAGGTACTTGGGTATGAGCCAAACTTCAAGTGTAAGGGCTAATGATACTATCTGGTTGATCAAACCAAAGTAGGTATAGCGGGTTTAAACCGAAGACTTGGTGGTTAAAAGTTGAACTTCTCAGCCACCGCTCTACAACACTGTATACACTGAAGTTTATTAGAGATGGTCTGAAGCCGTTACCCAGAGTCCAGGTAGTTGAAAGTTGACAACCTAAACCACTAGGTTGCAAGGCGAATAAAGAGATGAAAGTTATTATTAATTGGTAGGATAGGTTGTGCTGATAATTGGTTAGAAGGCAAAAATGACGTGAAATTACTTTTGCTGGTAAGAATGAAGACGAACTAATCTTATTCATTACAATCAGCCATAGTCTGATTACCATAAGAAATCTGTTACGATTAACATCGTGGGTAAATAATTGATGACTATCAGTTAATTGCAAACAAAAAATGTACGATAGATTTGATGACCGAGTAATGTTATTAAGTATGAACTATTATTATTATTATTATTTGAACACATATACTGGTACATAAGGGAACTAGATACATATGCGCCACACAAATCTCATTTGACTTGTGTGAGGACTGTGATACTGCACAGGTGCCCAAACCGAAGCAGGTGGCTTTCTTAAAGGGCCACTCCCGGAGTCTTCGACCTAAAGGTCTGATCCAGAAGGCAGTGGAGCCTCGTAAAGAGATACAGTCCCATGGTAGCCGGTGATCAACGATTGGTTCATACGCCATTTGTTCCCTCATGGTACTGGAGCCCATGTGCACCACTGGTTTGGAATCAGGGTTACCCAACTCCCCTGGGTGAACCCTCCGAGTCCACCGACCTAACTAAAGAACCGGACCTTCGCTTTTCGTCCTCTCGATTCCGTAAACAACATCCCCCGCCACGAGAAGGCAGTGAGTAGGACTTCCATGGCAGAGGCTATATACGCGTGGCCATGTGAGAGCATTTCGAGAGGGAGAGTGGATTATACGGAATTTTAAAGAAGTATATGCTAATTAGGTACAAGTTAAATGGATTAAAGCACTGATGAACCAAACTCAGTCAGTCAGTCAGCTACAACGTAGGACCAGGCACATATGTGCATCGGTCCAGGTTGCCATACCGCATCAGCACAACAAGATGAACACCGGATTCATAGCAGTGGTTAGGTCAAAGGTGGTAATATATAAGAGAAAGATTGCATATAGAAATATAGTACAAGAAGAAATAATTGGTTCGTAGGAAGAAAGATATGAAGTGATTTTAATCTCACAGTTAAAAGGGAAGACAGGGAGTGTGTACACCGACGCCATTGTGATCGATTCTGAGCCATGTCACCAAGAGTCTCCAACCATTGGTTACGACAGTCACGCGGACCCCAACCAAATAGTCTGCATCTACCAACATGGCTCAGACTAGAAGTTAGTGTCTTCAAGCACTGATGCCACGTTTTGGTTTGGCCACCCCTAACTTTCTTCCAACCATCTCCAACACCGGTTAGCATTGCACGTCGTGGTAATCGGTGTTCAGGCATACGTAACACGTGGCCCAATCATCTCACTCGATGAAGATTAACAACCTCATCAAATGATTTACCATCATTCCCTAATACCCTGCGTCTAACCTCCCTATTACTTACCCGGTGATCCCAGCAGATGCCAGCAATATTTCTAAGGCATCTGTGGTCAAATACTAATAGCTTACGAGTGTCTTCTACTCTTAATGGCCATGTTCCGCTGCCGTAAAGTAAAACAGAACGGACTGCCGCGCAGTATACTCGTCCTTTTATTGATAGACGGATATCTCGCCTTCGCCAAAGGTGACGCAAGTTGGCAAAAGCCAAGCGAGCTTTTCGGATCCGTGCTGAGATTTCGTCCGACACCAACCCATTAGGGCTGACCAGACTTCCAAGATAAGTGAAGTTGCCAACGCGTTCGACTACTTCACTCCCTATCCTTAGTTCAAGTGTTGACGCAGACCAGTCCTGAAGCAGCAGCTTCCATTTAGAGGGAGAGAAGCGCATTCCAAACATCCTGGCATTGTTGCTCAGTGCTACCAGAAGACTCTGCATTTTGTCAGCGTCTTCGCCAAACAGGACTATGTCATCTGCGTATTCTAAGTCGATAAGTGGACCTCCTAGTAGGAGATCAATACCCGAGAACTCAGTCGACGAGAAAGTTATTTCCATCAATAGGTCTATGATGAAGTTAAACAAAAATGGGGAAAGTGGACAGCCTTGACGGACACCACTTGAGGTTGCAAAAGTAGATGACAGTTCGCCATAAGCTCTGAAAACGATTTTAATGCTGGTACACACCATTTAATACTTATCATACCAACGTCTATGATCGTACATCAAAGTGACATAACCATGAATACTCTACTTCTGGTCTTCAAAATTTCAGAACTTTATGTCTGCTTCTACTGTTAATTTGATTGATTATCTGTAAGTTATGAGGCTGTTTATGTCTCACCTGCTGACAACTTTAACTCATCTATAACCTTATAAGGATCTATATCATTTTTTTCGTAAATCTAATTCTGATGTATGAGATACTGTGAGGTGATTTTGGATTGTGGTAAATCAGTTGATGAGGTTGTGAATCTACATCGACTGAGATGGTTGGGCCACGTATAACGCATGCTCAACCACCGATTACCACGACACGCAATGCTGACTAGTTTTGGAAACGGAGAGAAGGGAATTAGGGGCAGCTAAACCAAAGCGTGGCATTAATCCATAAATCCACCAACTTCTGGTGTGATTCGTGTTGTTAGATGCAGTCTACTTTGCAGACACGGCTCAGAACCTATCATAATGGAGTAAGTGTACACTCTTAGTCTTCTCTTAAACCGTGAGACTAAAATTACTTTATATCTTTCTTTCTACGAACTAATTCTTTTTCCCTGTATGAAGTCATTTTTACTACCACTGAAGTAACTGCTTCTATGAATTTGTCCATCTTGCTGTGCTAATGAGATGTGACAACTTGGACCGATGCGCATATGTGCCTGGTCGTGGGTTGTAGCTGACTGACTGATTTTAGATCTGATATTTTCTTTCAAACAGGCCGGCACAATCAGTAGATGTCGTAGAATTTAAAAGAATGAACAGAATGCCTGTGACATACGGATTTTCCTATCGAGTAATCAACTCTTGAAACCCACTACCGAAAATGATGTCCTTACGATCAGTTAGCTAATTCGACACCCACAGTATACTAGAAAAGAGCTAACATAGACTTTTAGCCTTGTTTTGTAAACAATGTCGCGAAGACTTAAATGGAATAATCTAAATTAAAGTTAGTATTCGACTGGTCATTAACACAAACAAAAGTATGAATAGGACTCAGAATACTGATACTTAAGTGAACTAATATGCTTCTTGTTTGAGCTTTAACCAAGATAATGTACTGACAAAGATATTCTGACGATCCATCATTATCAAAAGTTAAGACACGAATAACAAAAATATCAGTTGAGAGTAGACAGAAAAATTACTTATGCATAAGGATTAGGAACGCTTTAGTATGTTACCATACTCAGTAACTAGCTGTAATCAAGAAATGGTGCATATATAAGTCGACAATATAAGAATGATCATTGATGTGGATGAATAATCACAACCATGTTTTACACATGACAGTTATGGAAAATATTAGGCTCGAAAAGAACAATTGAACTGCAGTGGTCGAAAAGGTATAAAGTAGACGATCCCACAACCAGACAGGATATTTGTTGTAATAACGTTAGCCAAACACATTTCTTTCATGCTTATTTAAAAATAACTGTAGCCTAAGTCATTTACTGTGTGATGAAAAGAGTAGCTGGAAATGGGTTGCAGTTATGCCTAATGATAAATATGTGGATTATTCTCTAATACTTACCAATTCAAATGGATGCTAAGCACTTTTGTGCAAACGAAATGCTAGTGAATAGAAGTCATTTTTCAACTGTTATTACCAGTTCATAAATCTGTTAGTTACATATAAACCAATAAAACTGGGCATAAATTCACTGACAAACCTACCCCTGATGCTGCATGTTTATTCGGTCTTTAGGCATGTGAACGTTGACTACTGGCCCCGCCTGAAGAAAAAGTTCCCAAAGGATTGATTCGTTAACTTTTTCGTCCAATCCACCAACATATATTGTGGCGTCTTGATTACGCTCTTCCATAACCCCAATAGTCATTTTTCCAGTACGACTGCACAGTTGTGGCGAAACTTTGAACTTTCGCGGCGACTCAATAAAAATGTCACGAGTTTGATTAAACTAAATGATTCCTTTGCCCTCACTTCATGTTTCGGTACAGTTGCGGGTATTCGGTAATGTCTAGTGGATGGTACTCAAGCCATTCCACTGCATTAATTCTAGTCAACTTAGTATTAGTATGTGGGTTTGTATATCTTATAGTGAGGTGAAGAAAATTCTTTTTTCTTCTCAGTGTTTAGTGTAACCATGGTAAATATTACTGAAATACGGTCAATATTTCCTTTTGTTGGCTGGACATTGACATCATCACCCAGAAGGTGATTATTTGCTAACAAATAAGTTTGATGTTTTTCCGTTCCGTTCCCATTTCGTGATGTCACCTGAATGTTTATTCCGTCCTAAACTTCTAATGACTCTAACAAGCTCCCTATGGAACCGCCCTGTAAGGGCAGTATCCTACTTGCTGAGATGTACAGGTGGAGTGTTGATACTTCCAGCTAGTAGAATTTTGTCAAGCCCAGGTAAAATAGCTTTAGAATAGCCTGTATTGTCTCATTTTTGAGTGTTGGAACCTGTGAGGAGGGCCAGCATATTCCTTCAATCCAATATGATTCTGTCACCTCGGTTAATTCGGTAATGTGTAGTGTTGGGGTTTTGAAGTGACTGTTAGTGTATATATTTCCTCCGCCTCATGTTTTGTGCACTCTGTCGTATCTGAAAAATGTCCTGTCTTGCAAGCTTACTTTTCAATCCAACATGTAGGATGATAGCCATATTTTAGTGAGGACTATGATCTTCATACCTAATTGAAAACACGCTTCCGATTCCTTCTAGTTTATCTTTAAGTCCTCTATATTGGCACACAGGTACTTGGTGGTTATATTCATCACCTGGTGTTCCGTTACAGGATCTTTCGTCTCCTGAATTTTATTCAAATTTTTATCCCAAGTGTGTTAGCCAGTTCAGTGCGAACTGATATATTTAGTTCCCTCGCTTGTATAGCATGTCTCATCAGCGAAATCGTGGTATCTGTATTCTGTGAGTGGGCTACGCCGGTGTCAAGCCCTGGTAAAGGCGAGAGGTCGGACATCGGGTAGACATCCTCACCCCATGGAAAAAACTTGCAAGAGAACGACAACTAGAACATCTAAATTAAACCATTCAGACTGTGACTTGGGATTCGGAGGAAAAGTTACAACATCTCATGTTGAAAGCCGGGATTCTTTGAAAATCATGAGGCCGATGACCCAACCTAAATCAAGAAGAACAATTAGTATAAATACATGGAATGTTCAAACAAAGTAAAAGCATAAGAAGACTAACCAATTAGCTGCGGAATGGAGGAGATACAAATGACGGTGCCCGGAATAAGTGAAGCCTACTGGATCAAAGTGGGACAGAAGAAGACAGATTCCAAAGAGGTCTTGCTGTGCACTGCTCTCAAAGAGGAAAATGCTCCACATACTCAGGAAGTTGCTCTGGAGCTGTCCAAAGATGCACCTAAAACTCTTATGCGATGAAAATCTCATGGATCCAGGATTATCAAAACATCTTTCATTTACGAGGAAGGAGGGAATCACAATAAATATTATCCAGTGTTATGCGACCACAAATGACGAAAATAAAGACCAGTATTACGAGAGGCGGCAATCGATCACAGAAAGTGCTCAGGATATAACTTGACCATCCTGATGAGAGACCTTGTAGTGGTTTTGGGCCCTAACTCCACAATCCTCAAAGCTGAAAGCGAGATATAGATATTCATCATTTAACGTGGAGAAAACCGAACGATGGGGAAGACGGCAACAATGAATCGAATTAAATCGAGTTGATCGGATGGCATGACTCAACCTCGCAGGCGTGGTCGCTCTGTACAACATACTTTTACTCACATTAAACATATTGTTCTCTCTCCAGCCTGGATGTGTTCTCCATTATATATTGGTACTTGTTACGATGCAATGAGTTGGTTTAGATGATGATGAGACTTCCACATAAGATCTTATAGATTAGGCAAATCAAATATTTTAGGATGAGGTCTATTATTAGAGCAGTACTAATAACGAAGTTGACCGTAATCCCACAACTTAAACGCCAAAGTCGGAATGGGCAACACCTGGTATGAAGATATCATGAAATGACATGTATTGAGAGATGGGAAAGAGAATGGTGACAGACGTGCAAACCCATGTGCATTCAACTAAGTGGTTGTAGGCGGGACAATATTCGCACACAGACGCATACACAAAGCTACATGGGTCTCACTACATCACACTACAGATAATAAGATCGATCATATGTATATCACTAAAAAGTTCAGAAGGTCAGTGGAGAACATGAGAATCTAGAGAGAAGCTCTTATAGCTTCAGATCAACACCTAGTCGTGGCCAAGAATACGCTGAAGCTAAAGAGGCACTAGGCAATTGGACAAACAGCAGCAAAAAGGTTCAATACGGCCCTCATTCGAGATACTGCCGAACTCAACGAATACAAAAGAACTCCCAACCAAATGTTCCAAGACTTGCAATGATAATAATAATCAAGTTCTACTCAAAGAAGACGAAATTGCAATGGACAACAAGTGAAAAGGGATAAACGAAGCACTAACCTTAACGTGTAAGAGAGTGCTGGGTCGAACAGGCATCATCATAAGAAATACTCAAAAGCAAACAAGCAAACGAAGAAGAGCATTAGAGCTGACAAGCAGAAATACGTGATAGCCCTACAATAAATGCTTCATTTGCAAAATGTTAATCACTTGTCTCAAACTTGACTATTCCTTCTGCAAGTGTCAATTAATCGTTTGGGAATCCAGAAGTCATTCGATTCCACACCGATTACTCTATGTTATCGTTCTCCTTTTCTTGATCTCATTAAAGTTCTGCCTTCAGGCACTACATCTTAGACTGATGATACACACTACTTATATCTGTCGAGGTAAGTAGCACACAGCACAGAACTAGAAGTCAATAATCACCAAGCTAGGTCAACCAGTGAAACTGACGAACGGTGGAACAGGTAGGTAGAGCACTCTAAAGAACTCTTGAACAGACCAGTCCCGCTGAACCCACCAGACATCGAAGAAGCACACACGCACATTCCTATGGTTGCCACTCCATCAACAATAGAAAAAATCAGGATGGCAGACAGATCAACTGTGGGAAAGCAGAAGCACCTGACAACATATCGGCTGTAGCACTGAAGTCAGATATTGAAGTAACTGAAAACATGCTTCACATCATATTCTGAAAGATTTGGGAAGAGCAACAAATGCCTATAGAATGGAAAGAAGAATACCTCATCAAGATACCAAAGAAAGGAAATCTCAGTATGTGTGAGAACTATAAGGGCATCACACTACTGTCAGTAACAGAAAAATTTTCCGACAGTGTTGCTGGACCGGTTGAATGATTCAGTGGACACTTAGCTTCGAGACCAATAGGTCGGATTCCATAAGTATCGGTAGTCCACGAACCAAATCTCAACACTACTGATCATCTTTCAACAATCCATTGAATGGAATTAGTCACTGTTCATCAAATTCATTAACTATGAGAAAGCGTTTGACGGTGTGGATAGGAGAACATTATGGAACGTATTCCGACTTTATGGTGTAACCGGTTATCTCATCAACACCATCCGGAATTCATATGACGGACTACACTGCGAAGCCGTGCATGGAGGAAAGTTGACAGATGCATTCCAAGTTACGACCTAAGTCAGATGAGTCTGCTTACTTTCCCACTTACTCTTCCTACTGGTGTTCGACTGGATTATAAAGACTTCCACATCTGAGGGGAAGCACGGAATACGGTAGACAGTTTGGAGGCAGCTAGAAGACTTGGACTTCGCAGATGACCTAGCTCTTCTATCCCATACATACCAACAATTGCAGGTGAAGACAGCAGGTGTAGCACCAACCACTGTAGCAGTAGGCCTCAACATACACAAAGGAAAAAGCAACATCCTCAAATACAACGTGCAGAACACCAACCCAATCACATTCGATGACGAAACTCTGGAAGGTGTGGAAACTTTCACGTACCTGGTCAGCATCATCAATAAACAAGAATGATCTAATCCGAGTGTGAAGGTAAGGATTGGTAACGAAAGGGCAGCATTCCTACAGTTGAAGAACACATGGAACTCAAAATAACTGCCTGTCAACCAGTTTCAAAGTCGGAATCTTCAATAAGAATGTCAAAACAGTTCTAGTATGCGGGGCTGACGCTAATACAAATATGATGAACTTCATTGAACTTTACTATTGTAGTGAAACTCGTTATATACGTTATGGCTTATTCCGTCCCCTCTTATGTAAATCGAAACCTAATATGATTCTTATACTATGCACTATTATGTATAAGATAATTTGGACATAGAAGTACTATATTACTTTATCACACGAACATATATTTAAAGGTCCTCATATAAGAAACATGCTAAGGCATTTTTCAAGTCAGAGATACAGAACGATAAGTGAGAATGAAGCCTGTGACGGAAAATTTTCAAGTATCTGTTAGGAATAACCACATAATTAATTATTGTTTTAATAAACGACTGTTTACGCTTTTTGGTAACAATGTATCAGCGCTTGTAACGAAAATTCTCATTCCGAGTAACTCTCATGTTTCTGAAAACATTCTCAATAATTAAAGGAATCCTGTGTTAGTATTTGAATTCAATTGAGTTGCTAGCTTTCTATAATTTGCTTGTCGAAACGATTTCAGATGATTATACATCAGCAGTTTAATAATGTATTATATATATTCAGATTCAGATTTGTGTAGTAAGGACAGAAGGCCTACGGCCTATGTTATTCCTTTTCTAGTATGTTTCTGTGAGTGTCCAGTTTTCTCTTGAAAGAGTCAATTGAAGGTGCGGACACCACTGCTTCAGACAGGAGGTTCCAAGTATTGATGACTCGGTGTGAAAACCTGTATGCCACGGGTATTTTGTTCGTTCTTGGCTTTTCTACTCGCCCGCTATGTCCTCTGAGGTGTCCCGATCTAGTGGGAAGAAAGAGAGAGAATAA